GTGAAAAATCAAATTTACTTATTAGCATGACTTGATTTTTTTTTTTAATTAGAAGTGATAAATAGCTGTCAACAGTGATATATTTCAATGATATCACAATGCTTTTTTTTCTTTTACACTAAACTGTATGTATTTTATAGCAATTGAAGTAAAATGAAGATTTAAAATACTGCAAAAATTCAGAATGCCATTTGATCACTTTCACAGCTATATAACATGATGAACTTGAAGAAATAGCATGTGTATTACATATTACTAGGGTTGGATACCGTTAAGGATGAAACGGTTCGATACCATACCAGTATTTTTTAAACGATACGGTATTTTTAACGATACGGTACTTTACCTTGATGAATGAGAATGATGGTTCATTTTATAACAAATGTGCTTTCACCAATCACCAACCCTTCAATGTTATGATCTAAATGAGCTTATTAACTATGTTTATATTTTAACTTTTTAATAAATGATGAACAAACCAAATAAATTGAATCTCAAACAAATTAATTTGACTAGATACATAATCACAAAAACGGGCTGACCGCTTCAATCGGTTGCCAGGACCTTATTTGTTTGGTCGCACTAAACGATGACGCATTAGAAAATGGATAGAGATGCAGTCCTTTTAATTTACATTTAATATCAGTTTTTATTAATAGAATTAAAACACGATTAATGTGAATGTATTTTAAATTCTTTTTAATATATGTATTAATTTACCTCGAATATCGACAGTCGAAAGCAAGAATGGTACTAAGCATCCATTTCTTTAATTAGCCTAGCCTTTCAATGCGCGGAGAATTCGGTTTTAGCGAGTCTGGAATTGTTTTTTTAAAATCATATTGAATGTATTAAAATGTTTATAAGACTAAGGAATACCGCACTCAAAATATAAAATTGCTTAGTAATTTTTTTTACTTATTTTAAGTAATATGATTACTTAATATGATCGTTAATAACTGACTATGATTGAGTATTACTCAGGATTACTAGGTAATTTACGAATTTACTTAAAATTCCTTATTGTAAGTAAATTCATTACTGAAAGTATATGAGAATTTATTCAGAAAATGAATTTAAGTAATTTTCAGTAAAATAATTTACTTAGATTTTATTGTTGCAAGTAATAAAAATACTTTTTAATACATACAAGTAATTTTAAGTAAAAAAATTCTTAAATGTTTCCTGATCAAATCATTTTAATTACTGCCTTTAAAAGATAACACACTAAAGTTTATTTTTACATATTTTGGAAAAATAGTATACATCTATTTTTCATCGTTAAGGTGGCGTTATGCACTAGCTGAAAAAAAAGTTTCTCAAATCAACAAAATACTACTTCATTATATATAAATATATATATATATATATATATATATATATATATATATATATATATATATATATATATATATATATATATATATATATATATATATATATATATATATATATATATATATATATATATATATATAAAATAGCATGATAAATGAAATGTACATAGCGCATAAGTCAAAGTCATAGTGCATAAGTCAAATATGCAAACAATTTGTAATTAGGGGATAAAAAAAGAGTTGTAACGAGTATAAGGCTCGATGTACAGAGCCACTTAATTAATAATTTTACAACTAAGTACACTGCTTCCCTTTTATGTTTGATTAAAATCAACCATATCATGTGTGACAAAAATACACATCTTATCACCAATGTTGTACAAATGTAAAGGGAATGGAACAAATATACTAGATGCATCAACAAGTTCATGACCCTGTGCAATTTCAGAATGTTTAACACCATGAGCTTGTATGCCAGAGTCAAATCTCAATGTCTCATACATTCATTATCCAAATACAATTTGTTGTTTAGGAATATCTTCTTCATTTGTGTTGACAATCCATATATATTGAAGATTTCCAAATTCTGGAAGCCCATCACTTTCACCAAAAGCAATTTCACATTCTTTGGGAATGAACTTTTGTCCATTAAGAATATCCCAGAAAACACTGTATATTTCTTTGATGCAATCAATATCTGTTCCAAAAAAGGCATTTATTTCTTTCTTTGCTTCAGACAGAGTGAGTGTTACATTTGATATAATTGATGATTTTCCAACAACCATGTCATTATGAAAAAGAGGATATTTTTCACAGGCATTTAAAGCTCATTCATATCTAGCAAAATGATTTGCCAATGATTTTTCGATAATTTTAAGATTTTTAGAACCTGCCATTTTTTGCTTTAAAAACTGATGCTTGTTTTCAAAAGGCATGCTCCATACATGTACAATTCAATTTCTCAATTGTAGATGGCAAGTGAAGTAAATAGTGTTGCTTTGGGATTATATTGTTACTTGGAAATAATTCTTTAAATTTTCTGCAATGCCTGGAAATAAGAATTTTTAACATTTGTACAGTTTCAATACTAATGACAGGAGCCAAAATAATGTGTACTAATTCACAAAGCTCAGTTATGAATTCAATGTAAGGATTATTAACATCAGAGTTACGTTTCTCACCTAGAAATACAGGCCGAAAACGAATCAACACTATCATGCTTGATGATGATTGTTTCAGTGTCATTGTATCTTCTTCAAAAATCTTTTGAGGCATTATGTTTGGTCGACATTCTCTGTATTTATAGCCGTATGGAAAATCCTCCAGTACCCTATTTAGATGTTTCACAGAAAAGACTCCATTAGCAAACAAACTGCGTAAAATAAAACGGGTTTCATAAATAACAACTCCTTCAAATAGAACATGCATAATATCCTCCAGGACCATATTAATGATATTGAAATATGGAAAATCTCTGGCTCCACTACGTTGGTTTATACCATACGCCATTGAAAGACGGTCTCTCATCCCAGCAGTTTGTGCCATATTTATTTCCGTTGTCTGTTGGTCGTATCTTTCTAAGGACCGCAATATAAAATCACTTTCTTTGAACTTTGTCTGCATATCATCAAAGGTGCATTCACATTCTCTACATTTTTGGTATGCGAAACCAACTCCTTCTTTGAAACCCGTAAATTCATGGGCGGCTAGTGTGTCACCAACAAATGCAAGAGTAGCACCCCTTACATTGATTTGATTTCCCATTATCTGGATGGTAATTCCCCTTTCAAGTTCTTTTAAATCTTCATTAATTCTTTTCAAAACTATGTTCATTCCATATTTCTTCATTTTTTTTTCTTTTGACGATAGCAACTAATCGTATTAAGCAAAGTCTTGATCTCTATTGAGTAGGAAAATTTGCCAAATTGTGGTAAAAACACCTAACTTGTGTACACCTGCTGTGTCAGTTTGATTATAATTAATCAGTGACTTAAAATTTGTAGTAGACATTTGGATATTTTGCCGTCTTGGCTGTCTCCTCTCTCCATCCCTCAATCTTTTTTATTTATTTACGTATGACTTTGCAATGTGATCAACAACTAATTTAAACCTGAAGAAGAGTGAATTAACTAAACTGGCTGTTGAAAAAATCTTTCAGTAGAGAAGAACCGACTTCTCCAAAGTGAAATATTTGTCTTGTAAATATTGTTATCATGTCTTTAAACGTTTAAATAACTTCAATGTATTATTAGGACACAAAAAGGGGACAAACTTCTGCTGAATATGCCAACAAGGAGGGAATTGTTGAAAATGAAAAAGTTTCATTCATATGTCGACTCGATGTATCCCAGAGAACTTGAAATAAAAGATACCACAGTCTGACACATCTGTTTCTTATTTGGATATTTTGCTAGAAAAAGACGTTAATGGTAACCTAACAACAAAACTGTATGAAAAACGTAATGGCTTAAACTTTTCTATCGTCAACTTCCCTTATTTATGTAGCAATATACCCTTATCACCTGCATATGGAGTTTATGTCTCCCAATTCATTCCATACGCGAAAGCATGCTCTACTTACGAAACTTTCTACAACGAGGCAAGCTATTTACAAACAAGTTGATGAAACAAGGATATCAACAGTCTCGTTTGAAGTCAACATTTCGCAAGTGTTATGGTCAATACAATTACCTTGTCAGAAAATACAATCTATCATTAAGTCGAATAATGACAGACGTTTTTAATGCTAATTGTTAGGCCATTATTTACACACTGAATTTTCTAAGGATTTTTTTCCGTTTGTCCGATTATGACGAGGAACACACGGCGAGTGTGACCGATCGACAGGGGATTCTTACTCCTCCATGGCACCTGATTCCACCTCTGATGCTTTTAGAGGTCAGTGTTTGCTCTGCTCCAGAGTTGTATTGTTTCAATGGACTTTTGAGCTTGGTTACCCTTCGTTCTCTCCATATTTCATAGGTGAAAATAATGAACAGTAATCGATCTCAAAAAACCTACAAACAATATAAATTTGTGAACAGGGCATACAACACGGACCCCTTAAAATTCCAGAGGTGGGATCAGGTGTCTAGGAGGAGTAAGCATCCCCTATCGACCGGTCATATCCGCCCTCAGCCCCATGTATTTATAAGATAGACGGAATTAGTATAAAAACAAAGGTATAACAATTGATATCAAAATTCGACCCAATGATAGGTTGTGTTTAACAAGGCCATTATAACGATCACAGAATTTATGAAATGCTGACTATATCTAGCTGATATTACCCTACAAAATAGACGTATTTTATCACAACCTAAATAATGGACGTCGGAAGGCGAATTTTTGAAACTGATATTCCAAGGCTATATAAGGCTGTTTGGACTACGGTGGTAAATTCAAAAACTTGTTTTCTTTGGCCTGACTTCATGGACAGTGCCAGGTAAAGTCACAAAAGCAGAACGAGACTAGTTTACCTTTGGTGTCCCTCAAGTTAAAAAGAAGCAAACTGTATGCATGATTACAATAAGCTTTGTCTGGGGCTAAGTTGATCATGTACTAATAATTTAAGACAAAATGTTTCGATTGCATTTTTTTCTTCATGAATTCGAAATGGAACTATCAAAGTGATTTATTTTTGTTAAAAATAAACAATCTGTATACATATAAAATCATTTAATGATTGCATAGTTATTTATACATATATTGTGTAATTATGTGAAAGCTTGCTGATAATGTTTAAATAATGTTTCATTTAAATACACTAATTCAAGTCCAGCTTGTAAAAATTGGCTGCATTCAATTTGAAAATCTTTTTCTTGTCTTCAAAAGTCATGGAAGAAAGAAGACTTTGCAGCAAATCAAACACTGTTTTATAGTCAGCTTTGGCAAGATTGCACACTGGCCAGTCCGATCCAAACATGCATCTGTCAATTCCAAAGCAAGCCAGGACATGCTGAAAATAAAAATTTCACTAATACTGTACTAGTATAGTAATGCTTTATGTAACATTAAGTTTTCAATGAAATAATTTGAATCTTTTAACAACTTTTTAAAAACACAAGAATAATTACATCAATATATGGTTGGAAATCCCCAGCTTTCCAGCAGTTCCAATCTCCTTCTGTTACAAGACCAGATCTAAAGAGTGTTAAATAACAGAATTACTCACCATGAAATGGTGATATCTATATTAAATATAGTCCCTTTTATCCAATTTTTCATAAACAAGAGACACAAATTCATGTTTTAACTCGAATAACAGAATTGGGTACGTGAAAAGATAATTTAAAAAAATTGCTGATTGCAACCTCTCATTAAATACAGATATTATTGTAGTTAATTCAAACAAAATTAGCAAATTAACATGTAACTGAGTGGTACATGTACTTGACTTCAAGTAACTTATTAAAAATCAGTACATCAAGACTTTTGTTTTGATTTGTTACAATTTTCCCAGATAGGCAAAAACAATTGTTTCTCTCTTGCAAAGGTGCTTCTGACTATCCAAAGTTCTAATAACCTTCCCATACCAATATACAGGTATATCATTATTGATAATATTAGCCTCATGATATACCATAAACTTACAGTTTGCAGTAGACATAGAAAATATTCAATGTTTTGTAGTTGGATATGGAATTTATTTTACAAATGGACAGATTTTTTTTTGATATTTTCAGTTGTGCTTTGCACTGGTGAAAATATCAAAACCCTGTACCACAAGTGAGATAAATTCCATATCCATCTACAAGACATTAAATTTTCTGTTTATTCGTTTTTTTTTCCTTTTGCCTCTCTTTTCACATTATAGCTAAGCAATTGTGAGATTGATTTATGTAAACATAGGATTTACAACAATGTGGAGAAACTTTGCCATTATAGTCAGTGTCAGAATGGTTTATTTACTACCACTTTCTTGTAAAAGGGAAAACTTTTTAAATTACACTTTTGCCAGTTGGTGAAGAGAAGGTAAATCTTGAGTTTTGCCACACTTGTGATATTCCTAACAGTGAAAAATATCAATTTGATATTTTTCACTGTTATGAATATCATTTTCAAATATCAATTTTATTCCATGGATAAATTACTGTTTATTACTGTTGAAAATTAAATAAATTTGGATATTTTAGAGCTTGGCTATGATATTAATCATAACTTACAGCTTGAAGTTGACAATTTTTTTTCAAATCAGTGATCTTAGCTTGATTATGATTTATCATGACTTACAATTGCAGTTATCATTTGGATATAATTTGCTATCTTAGCCTGAGTATAATTAATCAGTGACTTACAATTTGCATTATACTTTTGGATATTTTGCTAACTCAGCTTGATTTTATTTAACCAATGACTTACAATTTGCATTATACTTTTGGATATTTTGCTAACTCAAGCTTAATTATGATTAATCAATGACTTACAATTTGCCATACACATTTGGATATTTTGCTATGTCATCTTGGTTTTGATTAATTGAAAATTTACATTTTGCAGTAGACATTTGGATATTTTGCTATCTCAACTTGATTATGATTAATCAATGACTTACAATTTGCGGTAGACATTTAGACATTTTGCTACCTCAGTTTGACTATGACTAATCAATGACTTACAATTTGCAGTAGACATTTAGACATTTTGCTACCTCAGTTTCACTATGATTAATCAATGACTTACAATTTGCAGTAGACATTTGGATATTTTGCTATCTCAGCAATTTCCTCTCTCCATCCATCAATCTTTTTGTCCTTTACGTAAGGCATTGCAATGTGATCAACAACAAATTTTAACCTGAGGAAGTGAATGAACAAAAATGGCTGTTATAAGTCAAACCAATTATTTTTTTCTTACATAGTGAAATACTCTTTATATGTACCTAGTCATTGTGAAAATGACTATAAACAATTGAATAAATCTATACCGGTAATTTAAAATGACAAACATAAATTCCACCAGAAAGTAGATTGTTTTGTGGGTATTCAATTTTGTATGGTTTGTTTTTTTTTCAGAAAACCACAAGTATATTACCTTGGAAATGTTGATACAACACTGGGTATATATTTCAGAAGAGGAGGCCTGTAACATAAAATGATTTCAAAACCAGTCAGAAATTATGAATTATATTCTTTAAATGAAAGAATGAATAAAATCAGTATACACTACATGTATATTTTAGATAATTCCATTTCTAATTGAATAACAAATGTTTTCTTTTTAAAAACAAGACATATTTGTGAAACATTAGAAATTGTATCTGAATTTTTTTTTACCTCTTTGACCTTACCCTAGGCAATAAACCTTGATGTTTACAAAGCTTTATGATAAACATGATGACTTTAACTTTTCAATCGTTAACTTCCCTTACTTATGCAGCAAAATACCTTCATCACCTGGTTTATATCTCTCAGTTGATTCAATACACAAGAGCATGTTCTATGTATGAACAATTTCTAAAACGAGGTAGTTATTGACAAACAAGTTGATGAAACAAGAATATCAGCAGTCTCGTTTAAAGTCGTCACTTCGTAACTTCTATGAAGGATACAATGACCCTGTCAGCAAATACAATTTATCATTAAGTCAAATGCTGACTGACTTTTTTCATACTCATTGTTAGGCCATTATTTACACACTGAATTGTCGATGGATTTTTCCATTATTTCCCAATCATGACTAGGAGCACAAGACGGGTGTGACCGGTCGGCAGGGGATGCTCACTCCTGCATGGCACCTGATCCCACGTCTTCTGTTTAAGAGGTCTGCGTTTGCTCTGCTCCAAAATTTGTATTGTTTAATGGACTTTTGAGCTTGAATACTGATCGTTATCTCCAAACATTTCATTTTTTTTAAACAAAATGTTCACTTCCAAATTATTCAAAAGCTATGGCTTTCTGAGGTGTTATGTTTTTAACAGTTAGACAGAGATAAAGCCATAGACCTATTGGTCACAAAGCTCACCTGAATAACCTTAACCATTCAGTTATTTAGTTTTTAAAAGATTTTTGTCCCTCTTTATTCCCAATTAACTTTTGTTGAGTGAAATATAATAAGCTAATAAAAAATAAATAAAATTCTACAAATGAATGTCCTCCCTTACAAGCAAGTAATTACGGAGTTGAATAAACAAAATACCTTAGGAGTAAAGAAGAGATTGCAAGGGTCCATGAAAAAAATCCGCTCTATGAATTTTTCTCATTTTTACATATAATTTGCCTTACGTTAATGGTATCATAATATTAAAATGTCAACCATGGTCATCAGGGTTATAAAGAAGATATGGTTGCCATGGTAACCACCGTTTTTCAATATTTTGATATTTATGTAGTGAAATTTTAAGTATGTCATACAGATATCAAAATTGAAACAAATTAAATAATTTTCACCAGATACTAAATAATATGCTTTATATTCATTGAAAATAAAAATTGTATCGGAAACTATTGATAGATATAGTATTGCCACAGTTGCTTTGGGGAGTAGTCATTGTAAATTTGCAGTTATATTTTCACCCCAGGAGCAGTTTTCAAAGTCTTGACAAAAAATTGCCCAATGAATTTTCCTAAAATTGATATATTTTGTAACAATTAATATAAGTGACTTATGGTTAAAATATGAAGTGGGGTCATCACATTCTTTTTTAAGCTACATGCATTTCAATAACCCCCCCCCCCTTCCTAAAATATTAAAAGTCTTCATAAATTTTAATCTGATGGTTTGTTGCTGAACCTTTAATGTGCATAATCTGTTAAAAGACTATAAAAAAAACAATATGTACAGATTAATAAAATATTTTTTTTCCTGAAAATCTTGTGGTGGTTGCTCATTTTATACGTAGAGCAGAATGATAGCAGAATGATATAAGTATCACGTACACAAAAAACAACAGTATGCACATTTTTTTTTATTTTTCCCTCATTAAAATATTCATTCCGTTATTATTTCAGTATAAATATATATATTCTAAACCAGTGCACAGTGGTCCAAGGGCCAAATAGTTCATGCTCTGAACACTCATCGAGGTCTCTGCACTGTGACTTGGAATCGGAAGGGGGGGGGGGGGGGGTTAGTCACTTGAACACATTGAATAAGTAGATTTTTCAGAGAACTTGTATCTGCAATATATACCGTATATAAAATAAATTCTAGCTATTATCTTATTTGACAAATTTTATTGATTTGCTATGTAATATTTACATTTGCAAATATTTTTCCTACACATTCATTGCAAGTTCATTTTCTCATGAACTAGGTAAGCCTACATATCTCCATTGTGACGTCATAATGCCACACTTGACGTCAAAACTATAGGCCTAGTGCAAACTGTTTGTTTCCAAAATAATGGTTGAATGACTTTTATAAATTTGCGCTTCATGATCACGCGGTTCATGAAATATGCTGAGGTGAAGCGTCTTTGTTCATGTCCTCGTGAATTTTCAAAAATTAAATTAATTTTTCAAATACATTCCCTTAAGCATGATGAGTTGAAATTTTTTATTTTAAATGTATATAACGTTATGCTCAAAATAATTTTCTTTCTCGGGTTATATTCATTATAATCACTGAGAAAATCACGCCGTCTGAAGCTTCTAGGAAATGATTGTGTGTTCATAGATGTAAACCCTATAATTAAAAAAAACGATCTCAAATAAAATTCTAGTATTTTGATTTAAACTAGAGGACGTAAGGATCCAAGTATGAAGTAAATTTACTTATGAAACAGATTACAGCGTTCAGAACTACGACAAAGGCTAGACGTGTCAAAACGAAAAAAACACATGGAAAAAAAAAATCTGCGTCGACGCTCACCAACACTCTGCAACATCACATCTTTAGGGCCTATCTTATTCTTTCTCCGTTTTAAAATATTGCCACGAAAACCTTTTGTCATGGGCGTAATCATAATCACGCTCCTTATTCCGGAAATGGTTACCGTAAATCTTCTTTTTTTAAACATCACATGAGTCGATCACGTGACGCCATGCAATCGCTTCCGTAAGTCATAGGGAATTTCCCTCTCTTCCAGTACCTTCAGTCCAGTGTGAACATCTTCTCTTATGATCCAGTCAGGTTTTTCCATCTCTAGAATATGGCGGACTCCTTTAAACAAGACATACTTTTGCATATCATCAAGAACTTCTGGAAGCTACAAACAGCAAAAGCCCTTCGTGACAATTTTTAACAAGGGTGCTGCAAAGCGGAGCATCCCATCACAAAAGAACATTCTGATTCTGATATACTTTTTACGCACACACTCACTCACTCACCCAAACACACAGTAACAAACATGTTACTACGTCCCCTACAACTTTGTTGCGATGGATAGAAAGATATTTTAAGAGCCACCTTGCCTCCAAAAAATCAAAAAAGAAAGCTCATTATAACTCAAGTTACCAAATCCTCATTTTTCAACCCTTTGAAATTCCATCTAACTCTAATGATTTTTTTTTTAATTCTCTGTTTCAGATATATTTAAATGTCATGTTTTTTAAGTTTTGTTTTCATGCACTTTTTTTCTGATAGAAAATGCTTATTTCCAATCACTTGCCTTAGGACTGGTGAGGTCTATTCCAGCTACAACTCCTTTAATGAAAGGATACTTCTCCTTATAGGTGTTGGCACGATAAAGAATCCTCACTGCTCAATGGCCCTGGGTGCCGAGTATAGGTATAAATTTGAAGGCCTTCACCGGTATATGGAATCTGAAGAAGAACAGCAAAGCCATGATTAGTCATATTTATATGAAAGCATCCTCAGGTAGTGTTACTGTAGAATCAAATTTTTTAAATCACCCCCCCCCCAGACTACTTTTATATTTAAGCTTTTCTGCTTCTTCCTAGCCAAAGTGCTCAGGGGAGCAATGTGCCCCATGGGCTTCTTGTTATTGAATAATTTGCAATGGTTACACTTACATTTCTTTTAAATGGGAAAAAAGGAATTTTATGTTTTTCTTTACTCTTTTAACTTTTTTTAACATATGATATTTCATTGATCATCTGAATAATTTTATTCTCTTTCAGGACAGGACAGAAGTTTAATGATGGGGTCTGATATTCTAAGGAGGTGTTGCTTGTAGAAGCTAGGATCATTGCTCCCATTGTCCGTAACACACAGAAAGAGGTTAATGTGCTCAAGTTATGGTTCTCAGCGACTCGGACACTTTCTAGACCTTGTGCAAAGTTGTAACTATCTTATTTGTGTAATATACTTAATTTTCATGTAAACCAAGGACATTGTCATATCCTTTTAAGAGATTGAAGACATGACTTCAGTGAGGGATGGACTTTATTAATATTAATGATGTGATACTCTACCTTACTAATTGTATTATAAAAGATGTGCACACTAAGTATCACTAGCTTTTACCATCTTGGCTCTGAGACCTATGAAATGATTATGGTTCATAATCATAATATAATTATGATCATAATCATATGATTATAATTATGGTGATAATGATTATGTGAGTTTTCACATCTTGGCTCCGAGACCCCAAGCCAATGTACCATTGTTTTATTCAAATATTTTTTTATAATAAATCTTTATAAACTTTCAAGTCTTCTTAGTCCAAACAAATTCTGTTATATGATGTCTAAGCATGCATGTGATTTACCTTTAGTTAGATAAACTCAGCTATTTGTGGGTACACTCAATTCACATCCACACTAGGTTGATATTATCATTCTAACTTGAAAAACAATGAAAACAATGGAAGAATTTGGTAAAATTTGATAGAAATTTGAAGAGTTTATATCATCTATTAAACAAATCATCTATTAGAATAAATGATATCACCTTTTACAATAGATGATGTCACCTATTCAATTTGAGTGAGTGATATCACCTATTCAAATAGGTGATTTTACTAAATGGCCATAAATACCAAAATGGCACCTTATAGCAAGTTTGAATAAATCTTTCTTTTATGAAATAAATTTTAAAATTTATTTCATAATCATGATGGGCATAACTTTCTGTATATAATGTGGTTTTATTATTGTGATATAAGTGGGTTCAGGTTGGATGATCTAGACTAACTTTACTTAGTGTGAAACAACTATGAATGATATATTAATGCGCAGC